CACCTCATCCACTTGAAATATTGAAAATTTGGGGCACCAAAATTAATAACAAACTCTTAAGGAATTCTTTTTAGTTCTTTGAGATAGAATTTTTGATCTGCCTTAAATTCTGATTAAGTAGTTTTCAAAATTTTTGAAGTTGTGGGCAGATGAAAAGTATTGTCAGTCTTTAGCAGCAATTGGAAAAGCAAAGCAGAAGCAGTTTTATGTGTAAACAAGTAATCTACCTTTCAAAGCCTTATTATAGACACAATTTTAGATAGAAACTTCACACTGATGGATGTATTGGAGCAAACAGGGATATTAAACATACCGAGCCTGATTCCACTCTTATTTATTCCACTGGTTTCAATGTACTGACTTCCAGCAGTGATAGAAAGAGGTAAATTGGATATTAAATGACATTCAGAACAAGATATATTACTATAATTACTTCAGCAAATTTATCTCTCTATGTGAGACAGTAATTGTAATGACTGCATTAAGTTAGAAAAGCAATATTGAAGCTTCCCAAACAAACCAAATTTTTAATTGCACCTGAAAATACCTACTGTAGAAAATTCTGTGTGTTTATCAAGAAGAAGAAGAGACCAGCCTTGGATGTTTCAAAATAACTTCTATGCTCAGCAATGTATAAAAGAAAGAAAAAGTGTAAGAAAAGATTAAGCATATAATATTCTCACTTTTTGAGTCATATTTACTTTGTACTGCATAGCAAGGTGGAACAAGATTCAAATTTACAACAAAAACTTTAGTTACAATGATCTTTGAACCATACACTTAGAAGTTTTCTTAGTCTAAAATTAAGGCTTTCCACAAAGGCAATAGGGTTAGTTATTACTGATTCAAGTGCGGTTTCATATCATTTGAGGGTTTGGGAAGTAGGGTGGGGGCACAAACAAAAAACCCCAAATCTTTGGAAGTATTTCAAAACAGAATGTTTTACTTCAAATATATCAAAATAGGGTCATCATAGAACAAAGGAACTTAGGCCCACTTTTAAAAAAATTGTAATAAAATACATAATCTGAAGGATATTATCATGAAGTCAATGTTAATTCATTCAACTGTGGACTTGTCAATATTTTTGTGAGTTATGTACCTTTCAACAGGAATACCAGCCACATTACACTTTGTCTATTAGGATAATCTAAGTCACCAAAATTGATTTGTTATTTGATCTGATTTTTCTTAAGAGATGGGCACAAAGTAAAGCAGGAGAAGTGAATTCTGGTACTTACTTGTCTTTTTGTTTTTTTTCATTAAAAGATGAACAAATAATCTACTCAGTTGCTTAAATGTCAGTGTTTAGTAGAATTTCAGATATTTTGCATAACCAAAATGATGGGCTACAAGATACAACACCAAACTTGTGTGAGGCCTTGGATTTGTTCCTATAGCTAGGTAATATATCCCACAATTTAAGAAGCTAGATCACACTTATAGAGTGTGCTGAATCATTTGAACCAAAATAAGATAGCTTGCAAATGTGAACTAGCTTTGTATGTTCTTTCCGATCCTATTTCTTGAATGTGCTTTACAATAATCAGATATGATTCTCAGGAGAATCTACCTTTTCACTCTTGCTCACTTAAAATTGTGAAACTACGTGTGTGAAAACAGAGATTTGTTATGTGTCATAAACCCTATTTATGTCTTAACAGAATTAGTACATAATCAAATGTGTTTTCTAGCTAATGGCCCGTATAAATCTGGAAATAACACATTCTGATCTTAGAAATACCCATTTTTTTTTTCATAACAACATACAGTCTATCATTATCTAAGCTCCTAAACCTTCCTTCTTCTAAGCACTTTTTCCACTTGTTAGCTGTTAGAGTTCAAAGAGGAAATAATGTGAAACAGTCATGAATTATTTTTCCCCAAAAAGACCCTAGAGATATTATTTATATCCACTGCATAGAATTATGTGTTACCACAAGCACACTCCTAAATCTAAAACAAGTAAGAAGGAAGAAGAATAAGACAAATAAGAAGATGTCTTTTTTGGTCCAAGTTCTATGTTATTATTATTATTATTATTCTATGTAATATCTTTACCTTCTAGAGGCTCACTCTGGGAGAAGAACAAACCCCAAACTCAAACAGCTGTTAAATAAGCACAAGGGAAAACCAGAAGCGAGGCATAAGAAGGTCAAAATTGTTCTTTTGGTTTTATGATTTGACTAGCACACAGCAGAACAAGAAGGAGTGAAACCTAAGATATCAAGTAAGGAATACAGTCAACACTTTAGTTTACTTACTTCAGCAAAATGGAACACAGCAGATAAGCAGTGTTGGCTAAGGACTGCTGAAGAACAAAAAGAAAAGGGGTAGATTTGTAATACTGCTGTAAATTGCTATGGAAAAATATTATTTATTTCTTTTTTTTAGGAAACTGTTATTACAGGAAAGAAAAAAGAATAGTAAACTAAATGTGGAACAGGAATACCAGTGGAACCAGGACAGGCAGAAGACTGTAGAGTAGAAATATAACACCGTAACAAAGAATTTACACTTGAGTTTTCTTCCCTCCCACAACAGTTTCATCTATTTATGCTATACTATATTTTGTACTGGAGCCCCTGGTGGTCTAGAGGTAAAGGCGCCGCGCTATCACCGCGGAGACCCGGGTTCGATTCCCGGTCAGGGACACTCCCGGGCAGGTGGGGTTCGTTAGCCCTTAAAGGCAACCCACCTACGTCCTAAGGACCTCGCTGCCACCGTCCAAGCTCGCTTGGCCCCGGCAGATGAACCTTAGGATTAAAGGGTGGGCTCAGTTCCGCGCACACTGTGTCTCATCAAAAAAAAAAAAAAAAAAAAATCCAATGCGCAGGCTGGAAGGTGGAAAGACCTTCCCCGGATCTTCGCTCGCGAAGACTGGCCATTATATTATATTATATTTTGTACTACAGTTCTTTACACAAACATCCTAAAAGGATATCAGAGGGAAGCAGAAAGTTTCGTGAGAAAATGGTATAATATATGGGCACATCACAGATCTCTGTATCATGAGAAGTAAAAAGAAAAATAACAATGTGAAGGTAAAGTAGAACACAAATATATTAATCTTAATTTATTTTCTATCATTTAATATTATCTTCCCATTTAAATATTTTTTAATGTATTTTGTATCATCTTACTTTGGAGAAAAGATCAAGATATTTTTATGTTGCTCTTGGTTGCTCCCCAATGCCATATATCAGAAAAAATTTTGTATAAATATCCAATGGTTAAAGTAGCGAAACATTTAAAAGGAAAAGTAATTGGACCCAAAGGAGACAAAACAGGATCTGGAAGAGTTAGGTTTTCATATGAGCAACATATAATAAGAAATGCCCATATTACCCTCTCAGGTTGTGACATTCATAAGTAATTGCACAAAACGCTGAAATGTCTGTGGATATCTAGAAGCATTTTAAGATGCCTCTATGTATTTAAACAAGAAGTTTGGGAGTTGGGGAAAAACACAGCTGGTGCTCATATTTCCTTTAAAAAATATCTTGCTGATGGTAGGAACCTCTAGGGAGAGCTTAATGAAAGCCTCTTTGCCTGAATCTTTTTGAGGTCCACAGGAAAGGGAGTTCATTGGAAATAGGACAGAATCAATCTCTCTTCTTTTTCCTTCAGCCTTTCCAAGGCTCTAGAGGAAAGGAACTTTCATGTGTTGCATTCAGGTGTTTGCTATTAATGCCTTGAAAATATTATATTCTTTGAATAAAGGAAATTAAACATACTAGCAAATGCTCTTATCTCATATTTACTGTTTTTAACCAATATGGGCTTCTGAGGTCTTCTTTTTCCCTTACCTTTGCTACCTATTACTATCTTATGTCTTTCTTTCAGCAGTATATTAAAAAATATGACAAACATCTGTCACCTGTGACTAAAAATCTGGTTCAGCATATCCACTGCACTATCAAGTGCACCACAGACAAGCTCATACATCATTTACTCTTGGTAGCATGACAGCAGCCCAGCCAGTGCACTGGACAAGAAGCTACAGATAAGAATTTTTATTTTTCTCTTGGCTTAACTCTTGCTTAGCCCTGCACTTGTCTATTTCTGCTCAAGTCCCAGAGCTTGTACTCAGGTAGAGTGATAATTTGGGAACGAAACAAGGCCAGGACTTTAACTTAAATGTGGCAGTGCTTTTTACATCTCTGCAGCAACTCCCGCTCTTGGAATAGTTTAAAAATGCCTGGCTGCTTCTGCAATTTAAAGATCTTTCATTTTTAGGTCAGGCTGCCTCACAAGCTACAGACATGCAGTAAGCAATTCAGATTAGGAGACACATGCTGTAACTTCTATATAAACACAGAAGTTTAAAAGGCAAGAAATTCTTCTCTACAGATTTTATTTTTAAACCTCCTGTTGTGATATATAATCCTTATGCTTTACTAAGAAGCTTCTGGAGTATGGTAACACAAATGCAACAACAGATTTCTGTCACATACCTAACATCAGAGATTTGCAGAATTAAATATAACTCCACATGTGAAAGGGTAGAACATAATAGTAAACAAACGAATATCTAACTCTGGAATTAATTTGTAGTACTTTAAGAGGAGTTCTACCTGTATCCAGGTTTGGAAAATATTTTACAAAATTAATACTCACCTCTAACAAATTTAAAATCCTAAGTATGATTTTGCTATTGATTATTCATTGTTTCAGAAAAACAACATTCTCTGGACAGGCAGTATCAACTTGTGGCAATGCTATATTCAGCACAATGGATTTTTTCTTTTTTTGTTTAAAGGTTAGGTATTGTTTTTTGCTTGGGGGGATTGCTGACAAAGCATTTGGCAGTAGGTACAACACATCTACAGTAAGTAGAACAGAGAATTTTAACTGCAAACATGCTGCAATAAAGTGCCATCATTCAATCAATACAGACTACTTAGTTAACATTTTTCTTAATGTATCTGGATTACTAGTTCATTAGATCATTACCTGATAAATAGTGTGGGAAATGAATTGAGAGAGTAACTACATACCTTCAGGAAGAACCTGCCCGATAACAATAATCCATTAGAAAAACTGGCAGTATCCTCTGATCTATTGCCCGCAAAGCTATGACTTGATGGAGAGTTTCATTCCCTCTGCTCAGCACTCCAGAAGAAAATCAGCACAATTTAAATATTTCTCAGGATGTGACAGCTCTCTAGATCCCTGGCTGCATTCTGTTCCCAGGGGTTGACAATCTGGTGTTCCAGTGTGCATAGAGCAGTGAAGATGAATTGAAAAAGCTTGAGATAAATTAGGGATGGCTAAGTTAAAATTGTCTCTGCTCCCGAGTCTCTCATCTGCAGTCTGCAAACCTATTTTGCTGTGAAAAAGCTAGATGGCAGGCTGCCTCAGTGAGTTCTTCTTAAGCGACAGGGAGCATTTTCAATGAAGAAAAATTCTCCCATTATCTAAGCTAATGTGACTGCAGCTAAATCTAGTCTTTAAAGTGTCTACTAGCATGAAATTCATTCTCACTGTTGCTTTCCTTCAAGCCACAGGTTAAAAAAGAAAAAGGGAGGAGAAAACAAAACAAAACAAACAAACAAACAAACAAACAAAAACAAAGAAAAAAACACAAGAAAGTAAAAACTAACAAAGCAACATCCTAGATTTTTCTATCTGAAAGAAATACTCAAACTTTTTTAAGTTGATAAATGGCAGCCCATTTCACAATATAACTATGCCCAACAATCTAAGTATTGGAAATTATCACTCTTTCCCAAACTTTATCTGCTTATATTCAGTTCATTTTTCCACCACTTGTTCTTTCTGGTTTGTTTTTAATAGTTATCATATCTTTGTAATAATTTTCATTTTTAGTATTCCAGGAAATAAAGTGGCAGTATTTTCTCCTTCTTGACAAAAAAAATGAAGTGGCAGCTAAAATTCTGAACAATGGACATATTAAACTTCAGTAGATAATAATCAAAAAAAAGTGAGTATGTTTTGCCATGCCACTAAAAATATTGTGTAACAAGTTTTCTCTAATTATGAACCATTTCTCTCGTTGCACTAGTTTACAAAAAGATACAATTGAAGTTTTCTGAATATCACTTAAGTGCCAAAGCTGTTTGACAAAGTCATTAATTTCAAGCTGTTTTGTAAAAAGGTGTTATAATGAAAACTATAGGGCAAGAGTTTATCGTTAAACATATTAAATGAAGTTTAATATTTTATCCTCTCAAACACTGAATATGCTTTAATTAAAAAAAGGGTATAATTTCAAAAAGCCACTACCAGTCATGCTTACTGGTAAGCAGGCATTTTTGCAAATCCTGTCTTTAGTTTCAGTTGCTCTAGTTTTCTGAAGTCCTAGCTGTCTACCATAAATGACTTTCTCAGGTCTGAATTCTCAGTATCATGGAAATTTGGGAGCCCATCCTTAACTGGAAGCAGAGATACAGCTGAATACGTATGAGTATAGCTTTGGTTCTAGAGTATTTTGAGACTGATAAATAAATATATCACCAAGAAAGAAGTGTAGACCCTGCTTTCATCAAGCAGGCATGAGGAGACTCAGAAAATGTTTAGAACATGACTGCAGAGTTATCTCTTGTTCTCCATGCCCTGGGGTAAAACATGCACTTATATTAACAGATCTCAACCAGGTGAAGTGAAAAGGCATGATCAACATTAACAGATGTCCTTGGGGGTTAAGTTACTAAAGCCATCAACCTCACAGAGCCTCTGTGTTTTAAGCTGAAGACATTAAATCTAACCTAAATCTTTTAAACAGAAACTCCCTTGGCCTTTGTCCCAACAACCACTTATTGAAGCATATGCAAGCACTTGACCAGATCCAATTGTTTAGTAAATGCAATACACACAAACACAGCCCAAAATAACACTTATTTCCAAAGGGGCAAAAAAGTTTACCATGCTTCCTTGCTCTAGGATTATTCCTGGTTTTGTAACACTCACATTTCTTAATTCTAGATGGCACTGGCCAAACCCCCTAGCTCTAGATGGTCCTGTTTGGGCAGGGAGTTTTGACGTCCAGAAGTCCAGTCCAACCTCAAATATTCTGCGATTTTGACTTTTGTTTAGGAACCATCAAAATCCGCAGTTCATAATGCCAGTGTTTTTCTGTTTAAATAACTCCTAATTTTGTTAGCCTTTATTTTCCAAAACATCTTTCTTAAATGATTGTAGATTATTAGGTTTCTCTTTTCCTCTGCTCACACAATTACAACATCTGCTGCTGAAATTAAAAACAAAAACTGCCAAGACCTCCTTGTGCAGCAGCCCATCTCTAAAGTTCCTGAAGTTCTCCCTCTTCACAGTGAGGTAAAGCTTGATGGAAGTCTTTTTAGAGCTGAAAGCTACCTGCTAGCCCTAAAGACATCATTGGTTTGTGTGCTATTTGTAAATTTTAGAATAAGAATCACTCACATCTTTCCCCACTCAGCAGCTACTGCTTCAGCAAGAGCTACCAGCAACAAACTGTTGTTTTTCTTGGAGCCTCAGGAACTTGGATCAAACAGCTACATCAGTGTCTCAGGTCCTCTACATAAAAGTCTACTATCTAGAAGAAATTTAAAAAAGAAAAAATTGTAATTCATAATGTCTAGTAGTATCACTATTCATGTTAAGGGGCTTGAATAAGTAATACGGACATTTCAGTTTCTTGGAGGTTTCTGGTTGAATTTTGTGTCATGACATGGAAGGAAATAGAGAACCAATTTAGCCAACAAAATAAAGTAATTCAAAATGTCTTAATAAAATTATCAATCTTGACCACATATTCATCTCAACTGTCTCTTCTCAAGCATCAGATGGAGAAAGGAAGAAGGTGAACATCAGGACTAGCAATTTTAGTTGTTTGTTGTTTTTTGTTTTGGTTTGGTTTTTTTCCCAGGGAAAAAGGTTTAATAATTCCTGAGGATTATTAGGGATTAGACCCAAGGCACCCAGCATAGCATAGTCTTAGAGAGTTTTAGAACAAGACATAGATTCACAAGAAATTCTCAGGCAATGCTATGAGAAAAAATTATTAGGGTTTTTTTTTTTTTTTGCTTTGTTTTGGTCATCTTTGGGTTTGGTGGGGGGTTTTTGTTTTCTTGTTTTGTTGGTTTTTTTACCTTTCCAGGTTATCTACTTGTGCTGTTTAATATCTTTTTGGAATTAATCAGACAGTCCAAGATGGATTCAGAGGTGACACTGTTGGCGCAGCATCCTAGATGTTTTGGTGTGCTGTAATCCTGTTATGAAAACATTTCAATACATCAAAAGGCAGTAGCAGTATCATTGGCAGAGGGTAGGAAAGGTGATCATGGATTGGTAAACATGTAACTCTGTGACTTGTTACCTACCTGGGTAACAGAAGTTGTAAATGCTTTGACCTGGGTGCCTTAAAACTCTGGGAATGTTAATTTCTAGAAGCCAAAGTTATACGCTGAGCCTATTTAATTTTTAATTTAAATAGCAATGATTCCACTGCAAGGCAGATTCTAAAGAATATTAACATCCCTCTCACCCCCTCGCATATAATAGGATACACTAAGAAATTATATTTGACTAAATCTTCAGAAATACCATTCTCCTCCAACTGGTAAGTCTCATTAAGTAAAAGAATTCAATTTAGATAAATGTTTGTCTTTCCTATTTCTCTGTCATTCTTCATGGGAGACAAAATACTCATCAATAAATTCAGAACATTTTCTCCTATCTTTACCCTGCCTGTCTTGCATTATAGTAGCAGAGAAAAGCTTCTAATGGGGAACTCCAGTGGGATTAGAGATAGGCAGCTCAAAGATGAAAACTTCACTGACAGAAAGTGAGGTTTTTTGCTACTGTGTATTTTATTTTGCATACATATATAATATCTTTGAAAAATCCACAATATGTATGCATATAAACACTTAGTAAACTTTTTGAGGTCTACTTTTCATTATTGTGGAATGAGCTCTTGCATAATTGTAGCTGCTTCATACATTTATTCACTGCCTGTTACAGAAATACGTGTTACACTCTGTTTTTACAGCTCATATGTTTGTAAGCCATAGTTTGTTGCTAGTTTTCTTTTCTTAGATTCATAAAGGATTAGATCTGAATGAAAACAAAACACTTAAATAACAATATTTTGCTAACCTTAAGAGTTATTAGTAGAAAATGTTAGCTTCCATTATGAGTGCACCTTAATGTATTTCTGCCAATGGTTTTCATTCACTAACCACTTGTAACATGGAAAATGACATCCAAGATAGAAGCACGTAAATCTTAAGAGGAAATTGAGACCTAGGTCTGCTGTTTGGGTTTGACTTGACACTTCAGTGAGAGAATTTACTCAAGTCTCTCTTCAAACTTCAGTCTGAAACATTATGTGGTTCCCAGAAGAAAGCAAATAAGAATGATCTAAAGTTGTGTCAAGGAAGGTTTAAGTTGCATATTAAGAAAAGGTTCTTCACCTGGAGAGTGGCTGGGCACTCGAACAGCACACCAGGGAAGTGGTCACAGCACCAAGCCTGACAGAGTTCAAGAAGCATTTGGACAACACTCTCAGTCACATGCTGTGACTCTTGAGGATGGTCCTGTTCAGGGCCAGGAGTTAGACTCGATGATCCTTCCAATTTAGTCCCTTCAATTCAGCATATTCTGGGAATCTGTAATTTACAATAAATAAATAAATAAATAAATAAATAAATAAATAAATAATGGAAGAAAAATATCACAGACTGCTATTTGTTCTAGTGAAAGGGAATAAGCATCTTTAGTCTTAAGATTATCTTACAAATACTGGGGCTAGAAAATGCTCCTTTTGTTTTTTTTTATCACTTAATATTTTACAAGCAGTTTATTTAATGAGAATGTAGAGAAAACAACAGGAGGGTTCACATCTTGTTTCCAGTTCTCTCATCAAAACAGAAGAATAGAAAAAGGATGATATATTACACATAAAAATAGAGTCTGTCCAACTTTTATTCAAGAATTATTTGTCATGTTCTCTTTTACATTTAGAACATAACAGTTATGAATCTTAAAAACTAAGAAAAAGGAGAGTATGTCTTGATAAAACAACTCTTATTTTGAATTTGTAGTGAATTTGTCTAGCAAGTAACAAACCTGTGACTTAAGAAACTATCTCTCTCTAATAAAAATAGTGGTCAGGTAAGCAAATATCCTTGAATGTTTAAATATACCCATTGCTGAGAACTGTCTAATAATTCTCTAACAGACAAGAATTCAGGGGTATGAAATCTAATTTCTTATGTAAATTTATCTCATATTATACACATTTTTCAATAGACTATATTATAAAAAGGGAGTGGGATGAGGGTGGCTGTATTTCAAAAGAAATATTGGCAAATAAACTCCTGTTTATCATGCCTA